CGTCTGTTCTTCTGCTTATCGTTTCTTTTGTTTAACCTATAGGCCGCGATTTTTGAGCTATTTTGATTACGTTTGGCGCAGTAACCCATTTTGGACCAAGGATGAACCTTTTCGCCCACTTAACGCCGCATTTTGTAAGGCTATCATATGAATAACTGCACTAAGCGAAGCGATGTAGGGTATTTAATCGTGGACCATGGCTCACTACAGTGTTCTTGCTTGTTAGTATATCCACTTATCCTCAGGAATCTGCGGGTTCAATTTTCAGTGCAATAGAGCATACTTGGTGTTATCTGTAATGAATACCCAGCCAGTAAAAGCATGACGCTTGCTTATTTGGTCGTTTGGACATGTTTGCTAAGTTGCGGGCACTTGCTATATCTGTCTCTATCCCTATTTCTTCTGACTGCCGCCCTCACCATCGCTGTGCTAAACTTATATACATTAGCGATGATATAAGAGAGAAATTACCAATGAGTATTAGTTTTCGGGTTAAAAAGTCCCAAGTGAGATAAACACAATGGAAAGCCGCGTTACCATGTTGTTTGCTAAAGAGCAATAAAGCAATAAGAAGTAAATGCGAGTAAAAACATATGGTTTGTGCGATAAAAATAAAGAAATGACCACAAATGTAAGCAACCAATGTATGATTATTAAAATAAAGAATAAAGAAAATGATTTTAAAAGATTGTGCACGCAGAAGGTGGGCTTCAATGACGCCGTTAATTAAACCAAAAGAGTTGCTTAAGTATTTTATTTCGAAAGCCATAATTTCAATTGGAAATAAGTTGCACTTGTTTGTTGCTTGTTTCCCATACCTTTCCAAATAATATTCAAGTATATACCAAAATTTCAAATCAAAGAGCATAAGGAAAACTAAAGTTAGTACAAAATAAACATAAATTAGATAAATAGCTTTTTTATTTCTTGTTCTATATATTTTCGTTTCGTTTTGTTTGTGTACATGCGTACAATTTGTCAATTCTCACAACGTCTTGTAAAAAGTCTGCAAAGTTAAAATCCCATCCCGAAAATAGGAATAATGCATCATTGTAGTACCCCTCTGAATCACATCAGCCTCCTTGTACGCCAGTAACAGTCGAAATATTCGAGTATGCTCTGTTTACGCAGCTTGTAAGGGATTATTAAGTGAACACTACCTTTTCATTGCAAGTATTTCAGCCACGATTCCCGATTAGGGGAAGTAATGTCAATATTGCGGTTGTGTGATATCTGCATAATATATTCCTGCATGTACTTTCGGTCAGCGACATCTCTTTATTAAAATGATAAAGTAATGCGAGTTAAATTCGATGGCGCAAAATAACTTTTTTCATTTAATATTATTAAGTTATTGAGAATGTAAGCATAAGCTAGTCGTGGACCGCTCAAAATTGTTTATTCATTACTTTTGTTCTTTAATTTGAAGAAATCTGCAGCCAAAGCCCATCAATATGGCAACGCTGCTCCACCCTATGTCAACTTTCGGTTGCCAACGGCAGAGAACGGCCTGGAGGACCAAAAAAGTTCGAAGACAATGAATTGCAATACTTATCCGACAAATTCTCAAAGAATTATTGAGCGGCTTAACTGTTGATCAATCAACTCTTTCTATACGTTTACCTGTGATAGGAGGGCGAATGGCTATCATACGAACTGACTGAAATTGCCATTTCGAACCGTTTCAACATCGCTATTTCATTGCTTGTCAGACACAAAAGAAGGGTTTTCTGTAGCATATTGTGACTGGCAATGAAAATTGGATCTGCTACGACCAACTCAAGCGCAACAAGTCATGGGTTAGTCCAGGAGAGTCATCCACATTTGTACTGTATTACCATCTGCTAAAACGAAATGAAGCTCTTAGTGCAGATATCTACCGACGTCAGTTGAACAAATTGAAGGACGTAGAATTGCAGAAAAGCCAGTATAACGGTTAACAGACGTAAAGTCACGCTCTTGCATGAGAACGATCGGCAGTACCTTGGAAGAGCTTTCAAGGATACACTACTGCAGCTCGGAAGGAAAATTCTGCCAGATGTAGCGCCTTCTAATGACCACATGTTTAGATCGATGCCGCGTAGCTTGGCTAGCACGGGGTCTCGAAATGCTAGAGAAGTGCGAAAATAGGTCGTCGCGATGTTGCTATGTTGCCAGAAAGTCGGGAAAAATTTGCAGAAAATGATGGAAAATATTTTGTTTAATATCCGTTGTGGTAATTTTTCTGTTCAAATATCTTTTTCAAGTGAAAACACGATCAAAATACATACAAGCCCCTTATGCCTAAAATGTCGCCAATAGCGGCTGACCAGTTCACATCTTTCGATGCTATATCAAAACTCTATTTTGAGTTAAGGTTTGTTCTTCTTGCTGGCAAATAAGTTATTTCTTTTTTTGCTTTTCGAAATAAAAAAGCGAAAGTTAAGTAAAATACAAATATTTTTCTTTCTTTCTCTAAAAGCGAGAACAAATTTCATGTTTATGTTTATTCGTACATTTGACACACGCGCCAAAATGAAAAGGAAAACGACATTTAACGAAACTATAGATATATGCATCGCGTTCTACTCTTTTTTTTTGCATAATCAATTCTGCCTATGATGACCTATCTTTGTTTTTATATGGCGCAGTCGATTTACCATTCAATTAAATACACACATACATAACAATCAAAAAAATATTAAACTATAAATTAACTTTAATTAAATAATAAATGTACCAGAAATGACCTTTCAACTCTTAGAGCTTCATTGTGCTCGTAGTGTCAAAGAGAGCAAAAAAACATAGTATAATTTTTATTTTAGCAAGAGCGTTAATAATAAAATATTATTATAAATGGATTCGCTGTTGCGTTTTTTACGATTATTGCCAATTACATTTGATTTTTATGTAGAATTAAAATCAAAACCGTCACATACTAAGGGTGAGAGTGGCAGGCTCATGACGACGTACCAAAATTTTGCAGTTAAAAAAATATATATATTGTTAAAAAGAGATATAGGATAGCGATGATTATGATTCAAATGTTTAGACTGCTTTCAAAAAATTTTCACCTGAAAGCCATAGCCTTTACTGGAAAAGGCTTTGTTGTTAGTACGAATCAGCTTTAAATTTAAAGTGTTTCTAAATGGTGAGGCACTTGCGGTCACAGTTTTGACTTATGCTCGTTGATTGTAAAGATGAAACTTTTCGACGTATGGTAGTACTTACTTTGTCAAAATTGCTGTAAGCATTTGCCGCAGAAAATAGAATATCGTCTTCAAATTTTGTGAAAATATTTTAAGCTCGTATAAACAGATCTAACAAAAATGCATTAAATTATTCAAAGGTCATAGCTACAAACCAATAAACAGCTCTATTTTACAAGAATAAAAGTTGCCATGCCCACTCAAAGAGCGAGACCATAAACCAATGTACCCCATCCAACGATAAGGGTATGTTTATTAAGTGCAACACCTATAGAGAAATTGTAGAGACTCCATAAGGTATATATATCATTGATCAGAATCAAATTCCGAATTAATTTAAACGTATCCATCTATCTGCCTGTCTGTGTAACCCCTGTGCTATTAAATTCCAAATCGTGTATTCGTCCATGCGTCTGCGCTAAACATTATCCTGGTCATAAAACGGAAGATGTCCGCTTCAAATTTAGCTGAAACCTTTGAAGTTTTTGCACAAAGATTGACATTGAAAATGGATCGACTCTGTCGCGGGCATGGATACAAACCACTCGTCCCAAACCTCAGCCCATATTGAAACGAAAGAAATAACTCTCTGTAATGAAAAATAGGCCATTTGCATAAATCTGGACAAACCAATACCCACAAATGGTGAAAAGGTCAATTTCGCTTTTCGCTCATGTGGTGAAAATATTCAATTAAAGCGAACTTAGTGTTAACAAACTCGAAAAAATGTACTGGCAAAAAACTAGCCCACCGTGCGTATCTCACTTATTTGTCTTTGTTAGAAGGCTGGCTATCTTTACACTTGATTAACTTGGTTTGAAAAGATTATGAATAACTGGCCGATATTGAGAAAATAATAAAATGATCATAAAAGCTAAACAGAAGTAAGATACACAAGCATAAATGAAAAACTAAATCATGCTTTATGTTGTAAAAATTGCACAAAAGGAATGTATTGTTATTCTCCTTACCTTGAAGTGTGCGTATAAACTTGGAGAAAAATTAAAATATATAAAGTTCATTATAAAAAATTTGTTGAAAATTAATACAAATCCAGTTTTTCCTATGTTTTAAAAGACGCCGAAAGCTACCATAAAAATCTAACTTCGTTGCAATCCTCACGTTTCACCAAAATCAAAATGCCAAGCATATACCCTCCTGATATATGTAAGACATTTCGTGGACGATACCCCTCCAGTTCTTTTAATTATCTCTGGAGTCTTTCATTTAGTCGAAAAAAAGGAAACAGAAAAGGTCTCTCACTGATTGTACTAATTGATTACAAATGTATAAGGCGTTCTATACATTTTTATACGTTGTGGCAACAATGAGTGTGAGCAAAAGCTCTTACCACATATAGCTAATGCATGCCAAGTAGTAGCAAAAACATGGTGTTTTGGTTCTGCGATCTTAATCAAAGATTTGGTTGATTTTATATGCGCGTGTTCCTTACTAATTTTCAATTTTAACACTTATTGCACCGGTAAGTGGTAACTTAGTGAACGCATTTTAAGCAAAAAAGAAACAAACCTCGAGAAATGGGGGTCATCTTTCACTTCGGTAATAATTTTCCTATTAAGCCGTTACATTACGCGGAAGGATATTTTATTTAAGGATTGATTTTAATTTTCTCGCCATTTTATATCAGTCGTTTAAGAGGCTATGTTACTGTGTGATACGCGCTAATTTTACAAATTTTCCTTTACGCCACCATCTCTTGGCTTCACTTATTTTGTTTCCTTTTTGCTTTTCTTTGCGAGAAAAGACTTAATACTAATTGTTTTTTTTTACTTGTTTGCCTTATTGTTACAGGTCCTGAAGACGTTTTGAAATTTCTGGGAAATGAAAGTGTTGTGGACCACTTTAAACTAGTTACCAGAGACGGTGACTCTCTATTGGTAGGAGCCAGGTAAGTGTTGTTTGTGTGTTTTCTCTATAAGCAAAAAGAGAACAACAAAAAATATAACAACAAAGTAATTTCACTTTGCGTGGGTCGCTTGAATTGGAAACAGGAAATGAGTATTTGAAAGTATATGTTCACCGTCCGCTCTGCATTCACTTTCTTACAGTGCGAAAATGGTGAAGGTAGAATACTTTTGTTTCACTCGTTAGTAAGTCAGCTGAAAAAAAGAAGCAAAAAAAAAACGGCTTTAGAAATTGTTCTATGCTTATGTTTGTTTGGTACACTTTTTTTCAATTCGTTTTCCTGCTTACCTAAAACTATGCTTTTATTTCTGTTAGAAATAGCGTGAATTCAAGAATTATATAATTGTGTGTATGCCAATGTGCTCTGTGCCAGTTTTACCCACATTTTTCTTCTAATACGTGCTTAGTTGGAATAGTTACAGAGTCCCCGGTTGTTTGTTCTTTTATTCATATCTATATGACATCCACTTCTTTATGCCCTTCGCAAGAAGAAACATCATAACTTTGATACATCAATTTAACTTGAAAGGTCTTCTACCAAAAATTAATTCGCAAAAAGCGTATGGCGTGCTCTAGCTATGGCTACCAGATTGTTTTATGTACGTCTGCCGTAATATATTTGCCTCATTAATACCCAAAGCAAAGGCAAGGAAACTAACGCCCAAATCGATTAATATCGAAATTTTTTTTTTTTTTTTTTAGGCCACTTCACAGAAAATGTGTGTTTTCCTTGTAATGCTTTTCAATATGATCTAAAAAATCTTTAAATAAACACTTCTTATAACTCCCTTATCGGATTTCAATTCAATTTCAATTTATGTCCACCTGAATTCACCTCCTTGTCATGTTTTAACGGAGCCCTTAATATACGTATTCATTGAGTTCACTGATTGGAACTAATTTTAAATAACAAATTTATGGGTGGTTCTAATAAATCTATTCATTTCTTTCCCTTCTATATAGCTTTAATTGCAGTCGGATCACTTCCAGGTTTCTGTTTCAATTTTAAAAATTTTTCGAGCCACGGAAATACGATTGCAAACTCGCAATAATTCGCCTAAAAAGCTAGCCTAGACGTTATAGGCGTAGACGTCAGTAGCAAAATAAATGTGTTTCGATACTTTCATCGTCGTCAGATGGATATAGCAACCGTATCTTGACTTCATGACTAGCCACTAGACATAAGAGAAAACAATGTTATTCCGGTGGAATAGTTACAATAGAACTTCAATACCAATATAAAGCGGGTTTGTTAAATCACGAAAACCGCATACCAAATATACCTTTGTAACGTTTCGGTGACTCCCTGTATGATCTGCTAAGAGTACTTGTTGAATGTTCATCACAAAATCTAATATCAGCTAATGAACATTTTATAACGTATCCTAATGGTGGGTACTCGAGATTCGCTTTAAGACATTTTTTATGCTGCCGTTGTTAAGCGAATTGCTTTGCTTCGCAATTTTTGTTGACATTTTTGCTGGCTTTAAGCAAAAATTCTTTTTTTCCTCACGTTTTCGCTTTTTCAACTCTTTTTAGAAATACATATATATATACATATATATATATATGTCATAACTGCTTCATATACAGATTTTTTGTCCATTTACCTCAAAACTTCGTAAATGTTATATATATAAATCCACTGACTTATTTAATGTTAGTTTTCAGCTCTATATTCTTCCTCTTCTTCGTCCTGCATATTTGTGTTTCTAGCAACTTCCTCTCTCTCTCTTTCTCTCTCCCCTCCCCTTCCGTAAGTTATAAGTAATTGTGTGCTGCATTCTCCTGCTTTTTTTTAAATCAAAAGAAAAGTCTTGATTTCTTGAAGTCGTTTACGCCGTCTGCCATGTGTTTCTTTTTATATTCTTACACACCAGTATATAATGTTGTGATTATACGCTGCTGTTGCCCTTAGTGCTCCGATCACTACTCTGACTGTTTTTTTTTTTTTTTTTTGTGTATGATATTTTGTATCCGGTACACTTTGTGACACCTTCACCCCATTTATTATTACGTAGTACGTTGTTGCTGCTTCTTTGTTCGCTTTATTAAATTTTCATATTCAAGTGACAACTGAAGTTTTAATTTATTTTTGGAAAATACTTAAAATTTCAGAGATGTCTCAGCACGAAATAGAAATGACTTTGTGAATGAAGGCTTCTTAAGATGAAGAGAAATACTCGCAATTTTCTATAGTTGAAACTTGAAACTTGTTGATAATTTCTTCTTCTTCTAAAAAACTTCTTCTGGACAAAATTTCAAGTCAAAAAATTAAATTTTTCATTTTAATGTTTAACGGGATGTTTAATGAATACGTTAAAAAGTGAGAATTTCCGTAACTCAATGAATTGCGTTAATTCCTTAATTAATAAGCGCTGATATAGCAATAATATTGAAACAAAACTCCTCGTTCTTTCCAACTGGTACAAACAGAGACTTTCTTTTTATATTCCATCGTCTTTGTTTGTAACATTTAACAGATGTCAATAATTCATTGATTCGTTTTCCTCTATCTTCAGCGGTCTTCACATCGTAAACAACATCGCCTAAAAGGATCGTCATCCAAAAATATATATTTATTTGTCACATATCACATATTCCGTAAACCGTATACTGTCATGACAAGTCGTTTCCTACTTCTTAGCTTCTCGTCTTCAGTTCGTTATCAAACTTTCCGGAAATGGCTCGAATACCTTTCGTATTCTCTCGAACCAGATGATGTTCGAAACAAACGTACGTAAAGCGCTCTCCATTTAAGGCAATACCTCGGCATTCCATTCCTGTACTCAAAAAAATACCGGCGATGGATGTCAAAGGCCGAAAAACCGAACAATCATGTACGATTGTCGGCATACCGAAGACAACGCTTTTACTTATTACGTCAACGTTGAGGTGAAAGAGATTGATTTTCGCAAAAAAAGCTTTCAATCTCAAAATCTTTGAGCGATCTATTTAAACTGTTACTTAATGGTTCTTTTTTCATAAAGCTATTCCGTAGCTAAAACTGTAGAAGGTACTTGTCACGTTCAGGGCTCTAAGTTATTGATTTTGAGGTTTAGATTAATATCTTAATCCTTCTTTAGAAAGCGTTTCTTACTAACATCCTACCTAAGTTCATTCTTACTCATCAGTGATTCACATGACGCGCTAGTGAATTAAAGGTTGCTACTATCGGTTCCAAATCTTTTTGCATCGATCTACCGGTTCTAGCTGGGATTCAGAGCGGTATGTTCCTGCCTACTTGTGTGCACTGGACGAGTACCTTTTTTCTTCCTTTGTTTCTTTATACATTTTATGAAACTTACATACAATTGCTAAGTAAATATATATCATAGATATAATAAAGAGAAAATGATTATTAAATATATATTATTGTCTTGCAAGTTCATAAGAATGCTATGAAATATAACCAGGACTGTCTAGTGTAGTATTCACCGCAGTACCCATGCACGTGATGCACGCCTAGTGTCCAAACACAAAACATGTCAATTTTCATACATTAAATATAAGAATGTATGGCATCAGTCAAAATAAAAATAATATATCCGCGTCTTCTGTCTTTGCTTTTCCTTATACGATCTTTAATTAGTTTCATTAGTATGTCTATTAAGCTATTACTATTTATGAACGCCAGCACACGAAAGATTTCCTTGAGCTCACTTCAGCTTCAGCTCAAGAGAGGAAGGCGACTGCACTCATAACTACACAAGTTAGCCTTGCAATGCGTTGATGGCGAATACTCGCCATCTTCCCTCTCGCTCATGTAACGGAAGTACTTTGAAAATATTTTGCTTTACATCATTTTTTGTGGAAATGATTGTATAAAATTACCTGACAGATCAATCTCTAATTAAAATTCATTCCTTAAGGCCTGAATAAAACATATACATACATGCAAACGTAAACTTTTAATGGAGTTGATTTTTCGTCAAGACTTCAGCTTGTTATTATTTAACATTGTAGTAATTATTTAGTAAAATTGAATTTGCCTTGTTAAGCCCTTAAGAAATATGTATTTGTCCGCAATACTATTCATCATGTGCTGGTAAGATATGGTTATAACATACAACATGCACTTTAAAGCTGTGTCGTTTTAGAAGCCGTTAATGTACAAAAATTAAAAAATGATTTCGTTTACAGATGAAGAACGTAAATACCGTTTACATATGAACGCTTGACGCAGAGAGCAATAGTTCAAAAAATGAAAGAAACAATGTCCAGAAACCTATGGAAAACAGTATAGTTCAAATTAACTTTGAGTGTCATGACTGGACCGAAAAAAGAGCCCTTGTTTTTGTTTTGTTTACCTTTGCAGTTTGGCGGTGTCCGGCCTTTTTACACCCTATATCACTTGTGATACAAGTTATGTTAAGTTCATGCGGATGTATGTGACATCCACAGGTATTCTAGACAGACCCATCCGAAAGTGACTCTGAATCGATCTCAGCTTGTTTGACTCTCCGTGTACTTTTGTGTTCGCCATCATACTGGTGGCAATCTTTGAGCTCTTGCGATAAATGGAATGGAATGCCGACGGGTGTTCGCCTTTCGGACGATTGCTATTGAAAGTAGTTCGATTCGGACAATTTCAGGCTTTATTTTCAAAAGTCGTTATGCAGATACCTTTGTCAAGCGAAGTGATTTAGGGTATTTCGTAGTGGGCCGCGTCCGACTACAAAGATTTTACTTGCTTTTTTCTTGCCTTTTTCTCATTAGCAATAAGTGTTCGCATAAAGCATACATGAAACGGTGCCCAAAAAATTAAATTTAATGTTAAATTTCTCTTACTCATCCTTAGCCGCAGTTAAATGTAGAGCTCTTTGGTTATCTGCAGGCTTCTGCCTACTTTTCGAAGATTTTAGCATCGCTATGAGACTCCGTTCGTAAGGCACGAAGTGGATATTAAATTTATAGCACTGAATACATACATTATATAGCTAAAGTGTGGTAAGGAGTTCAGCTCAGTCTGACGTAGTGATA